AAAAAGTATTGCGGTTGCAACAATGTATCTATTTGTAGCCGAATAAAAACATCTGTATCCAAAATGGATAAAATAGATACATTGTTGCAACCGCAATACTTTTTCATGTCAAATATAATAGCGGAGCTCTCTGCAAGGGACAGAAGTAATTAAATGCCGGCTGTAGACGGGACGAAAATCGGCCGATTTTTTTTACCATTGGTGCTAACGTCGGCCTATTGAACGACTGATTTTTCTTTTTTTTTTTTAACCGTTTCAATACCGGGCAATTTTACACCTTCCTGCCCAGGCCAGTTTTCAGGTTTCAGCGCTCTCACACTTTGAATGACAATTGCGCGGTCATACAACATTGTACCCAAACTAAAATTTGATCATTTTCTTCACACAACTAGAGCTTTCTTTTGGTGGTATTTATTCACCGCTGGGGTTTTTATTTTTTGCTAAATTAACAAAAAAAAAAAAAACCAAAAATTTTGAAAAAAAAACACATTTTCTTTGTTTCTGTTATAAAAGTTTACAAATTAATAATTGTTCTTCATAAATTTAGGCCGAGATGTATTCTGCTACATGTCTTTGGTGAAAATAACCCAAATTAGGATGTATTTTTTAGTTTGTAGGAAAGTTATAGAGTTCACAAACTATGGGATAGATCTGAATATTGATCAATCCTGAAGTACTGACAGCCAATCTAATTTCTTGAGGTCCAAGAATGTCAGAATAGTACAGATATCCCCCAAATGCCTCCTTTTTGCAGAGTAGACAGTCCGACGTACTTCATAAGAGGCATGGTGAGTTTTTTGAAGTTGTATTTTTTTGTCATAATTTTTCGGAAAATGAAAAAATTAAAAAAATTATTTTCACTATTTTTTTTTTTACATACTGTCACCAGTGCAGTACAGCGTCATCATATAACTGACATGGTGGTGAACAGTGACACTGACTGGTGACAGTATGAAAAAAAAAAAAATATTTTTTTTTTATTTTTTTTATTTTTTTATTATATTTAATTTTTTATTACATTTTTTTTTATTTTTTTTAAGATTTTTTTTCATATTTTACTATGACCAAAATAGTACAATGTTACCATAGTAACACTGTACTACTTTGGGGAAGTGATCAGTATTTTTTTTTTTTTTTTTTTTTACACAATTTGCTTATAGCAAAGAATTACTTTGCTATAAGCAAGCATTTACCTGAATGAAATCGATTCATTCAGCTTTTTTTTTTTTTTTTTTTTGTGCTTAGCTGTGATTTGGTCACAGCTAATCACATGACATGTGCATGTGATTAGCTGTGACCATTCACAGCTAGGCACTAGTATACAATGGATGGCATCATGAATGAAGCCATCCATTGTATACAACTGTCATGTGACCTGCTGTGATTGGTCACAGCAGGTCACATGGTACCGGCAACGGGAGCCGTTACTCGGATCTGTCATCGGCCGTGTCCGAGGTGCACGGGCGGTGACAGATTGCACTGCTGCGTCGCTCTGCAACCGCCGCGCAAACCGCGCATGTGCGGGAGCACGCCAAATGGCGTGCACCCGGAAAGCTGCAGCGCTTTTCAAGCCGCCAAACGGCCATTGGCCGGGCGGCTAATGGTTAAAGGCCGGTTTTTGACCCATCTATGGCCTGCATTAGGCTATGTTCACACTAGCTTTGTCAGCAGACGTCAGACAGGCATTTGGGAAGCGTTTTTAATACTTCTCAAATGCCTATGAAAATTCTGCACATGGCAGCACACAGTGCTGTTCACACAGAAGCGTTGGCGTCGCGGCAAAACTGAAGCCTCGTGCCGAGTCAGGAGGAGTTAAAGCCTCCCATTCAAGGCTATGGTGCTGCTCAGCAAATGCCTGGCAGGCGTTTGCGGTGCGGTTGCGGTGCAGTTGCGAGGTGGTTGTGGATTGTTAATACCATTTAACTTCATTATAGGAGTTTTTGGTGCGGTTTTAAAGCTTGGCAAACGCCTACTAACCTCCGCAAAACCGCGCATAGGGTGTTTTGAGAGTGTTTAAGGAGCATTTGAGGAGCGTTAAAAATGCTTCCCAAATGCCAGTCTAATGCCTGTCAATTGCTATAGGGGCGTTTGGCAAGAGTTAGAAATAAAGTCAAGTGTGAACGAGCCCTTACGCAGGCCATAGATGGGTCCAACATCGGCCGATTTTTTTTAAAAAAAAAAAACGAAAAATCGGTCGTCCGATCGGCCAACATTTCCACCAACATTAAAAAAATCAGCCGATTTTCGACCCGTCTACGGCCAGCATTAACCCCATAACTTCTGTCCCTTGCAGAGATGGGGGAGCGCACCATACAATGCGACAGCAATACTTAAGAAGAAGAAGAAAAATTCCAGTCCGCTATTATATGTTATATGAAAAAGTATTGCGGTTGCAACAAATGTATCCATTTGTATCCAAATAAAAACATTGTAATACATTATTTGGATTACAAAGTTTGTATTTGGATACAAATGGATACTGTACATTTGTTGCAACCGCAAGACTTTTTCATATAAAATATAATAGCGGACTAGAATTCTTCTTCTTTTTATTCTTCTTCTTTTTCTTCTTCTTTTTTTTTCTTCTTCTTGCAGGTCTCGGCTCATACGCAGATTTTTAATTGGTAAAAGGATCGGCCGATTTGCCCATCATTGCTGGGAAAATCGGCTGATCGTCAAAATCGGCCGGGAATTTTCCAACATGCCCGATAAAAAAAAATGTGCAAAAACCCTGAAAAACATCCGACCAATTAACCCACTAACGGTGCGAAAATCGGCCAATTTTTTTTTTTTGGCCCGAAAAATCAGGCATTAAAGTTGTCACAACAAAGAAAAAATGTACAAATGGGGAAAAGCTGAGAGATTCCTGAAAGGCTGATTGAACCATTGGGTGCCGGTATCATGAACACTCTGTCACCTTCCCTCCATACAGAGTAAAGGAGGAAGCAGAGGTGTCCCTAGGGTTGGTGTCACCCGGTGCAATAACACTTGGCGACACCCCCGCCGACGACCCCCGCAGAATGGATCGGATCTGCGGATTGAGCATAATGGATCTGATTATGCTCCCCAACCTGCATATCCGATCCATCCTGCGGGGATCATCGACATGCAACCTATACGGGGTGACACCGGACCCGCTCCACGAAAAGGTAAGTTGTAAAGCAAGCCGTCGATCATCAACTTGCTTTACAACTTACCTTTTCATGGAGCAGGTCCGGTGTCACCCGTTGCGGGCCACACACCCCCCACACCTGCCTCGGGACGCCACTGGGATGAAGCCAGGTTTATGGTGGAGTCAGATTTGGAAAATTCCTTTTTACAAAAATGTAAGTTCTACCAAATAATAAAGTCTTTACACAGAAGACATTTGTTGTTACTTTTATCTTTGTAGAAATATGAAAAGAAATGAGGAGACATCGCCCGCAGCAAATGTATGAACAGACAAAGCAGCTGACAGCGTAACAGAACCCAGGAAGGGGCCCCATAGCCTGTGTGTGCCCTGTACATGTCTTGTGTGTGCCCTGTACATGAACTGTGGGGGGATTTACTAAAACTGGAGCACTCAGAATCTGGAGCAGCTGTGCATGGCAGCCAATCAGCTTCTAACTTCAGATTCTTCAATTAAGCTTTGACAATAAAACCTGGAAACTGATTGGCTGCCATGCACAGCTGCCCCAGATTTTGCACTCTCCAGTTTTAGCAAATCAACCCCTGTGTTCTGTACAAACGTGTGTGCACTGTACATGTCCTGTGTGTGTCCTACGTGTGTCCTGTACATGTCCTGTGTGTGCCCTGCGCATGTCCTGTATGTGTCCTGTGTGCCCTGTACATGTCCTGTGTGTGCCCTGCGCATGTCCTGTATGTGTCCTGTGTGACCTGTACATGTCCTGTACGTGCTCTATGTTCCCTGTACATGTCTGTATGTGCTCTGTGTTCCCTGTACATGTCCTGTACATGTTCTCTGTTCCCTGTACATGTCCTGTACGTGCTCTATGTTCCCTGTACATGTCTGTATGTGCTCTGTGTTCCCTGTACATGTCCTGTACGTGTTCTCTGTTCCCTGTACATGTCCTGTACGTGCTCTATGTTCCCTGTACATGTCTGTATGTGCTCTGTGTTCCCTGTACATGTCCTGTACGTGTTCTCTGTTCCCTGTACATGTCCTGTACGTGCTCTATGTTCCCTGTACATGTTCTGTAAGTGCTCTGTGTTCCCTGTACATGTCGTGTACGTGTTCTCTGTTCCCTGTGCATGTCCTGTACATGTTCTGTGTTCCCTGCACATGTCCTGTACGTGTTCTCTGTTCCCTGTGCAGGTCCTGTATGTGATCTGTGTGCTCTGTGCATGTCCTGTATGTGTTCTGTGTGCCCTGTGCATGTCCTGTACATGTTCGGTGTTCCTTGTGCATGTCCTGTATGTGTTCTGTGTGCCCTGTGCATGTCCTGTACGTGTTCTGTGTGTCCTGTACATGTTCTGTGTTCCCTGTACATGTTCTGTACATGTTCTGTGTTCCCTGTATATGTCCTATACGTGTTCTCTGTTCCATGTGCATGTCCTGTATGTGTTCTGTGTGCCCTGTGCATGTTATGTGTGCCCTGTGCATGTCCTGTACGTGTGTTCTGTGTGCCCTGTGCATGTTCTGTGTGCCCTGTGCATGTCCTGTACGTGTTCTGTGTGACCTGTGTATGTACTGTACATGTTTTGTGTGCACCCTGTATATGTACTGTACATGCCCCTTGTGTCTCTGTGTGTGTCTTGTGAAGATGAAGTCATGTGAATACTTACAAACACACAAAGAAGCATCGGTCCCTTTATAATGTACCAGATCCCGGTATTAGTATTTGTCTCCCAGCACCTGGAACGGCACACAACAAACATTGTCCGGGGTTACCTTTATTATTACCATGAAAACCGTAACTGACATTACATACAATGACATGTTTCAGGGGTCATTCAGGTAGTGCAGAGAGATTTCATCACATTTATGTCTTTGTCCCTCCCATGATGGGGAGAGTTCCTGCAATAGTTTGTGTCTCTGCTCCACCCTCAATTATATTTCCTCCAGTATTTTGTGTCTCTGCCCCTCCCACCATGGGGAGATTTCCCCCAGTAGTTCGTGTCTCTGCCCCTCCCACAATGGGGAGATTTCCCCCTGTAATTTGTGTCTCTGCCCCTCCCACAATGGAGAGATTTCCCTCAGTAGTTTGTGTCTCTGCCCCTCCCACAATGGAGAGATTTCCCTCAGTAGTTTGTGTCTCTGCCCCTCCCACAATGGGGAGAGTTCCTCCGATAGTTTGTGCCTCTGCCCCTCCCACAGTAAGGAGAGTTTCTGCAATAGTTTGTGTCTCTGCCCCTCCCATGGTGGGGAGATTTGCCCCGATAGTTTGTGATTCTGCCCCTCTCAGAATGGGGAGAGTTCCTGCAATAGTTTGTGTCTCTGCCCCTCCCACAATGGGGAGAGTTCCCCCGATAGTTTGTGGCTCTGCCCCTCCCACAATGGGGAGATTTCCCCCGATAGTTTGCGTCTCTGCCCCTCCCACAATAGGGAGAGTTCCCCCGATAGTTTGTGTCTCTGCCCCTTCCACAATGGGGAGAGTTCCCACGATAGTTTGTGTCTCTGCCCCTCCCACAATGGGGAGATTTCCCCCGATAGTTTGTGTCTCTGCCCCTTCCACAATGGGGATATTTCCCTCGATAGTTTGTGTCTCTGCCCCTCCCACCAAAGTGAAGGGAAGGAAGTGTAGGGATCACACACAATCCTGTTGGTTTGAATAGAATATGAATACCATAATGTGTGTGAACAGTTTTCCACACTATCTTGTTCTTGTTTCTTTTGGACATTTCTGAAGTTTACGGCTGTAATCGCCTGAAAATCTCCTGGCTATTTCCGTCTCTGCAGCCCAGAATTATCCGGGTGATTTATTGGCTGCCGCTCGGCGATCGATACATTCAGTGTGTATATGGTGCGGGGAGATTGGACCATGAATCATCCTGCCGATGCTGTGATTGGACGATGATGGATGGCGGGGAGGATGGGAGGAATATGGCCAACCTTAATACATTCATAAATGCGTTTCTTTTTTTGTCCTGAACCCCAACGCTGCAAACTGCTGCCTGCTCTGGATCTGTCATTTCCTCTCCGAGAACGACACATGAGATCTACTGCTGTGATTCTCAATGTAAAGGGGAACTCTGACCACAGACACTGGGCATTAATAACAGGAGAGCAGCAAAATCACCAGTTCAATTCAACAAAAAATTCTGCAAAAATCAGAAGATTTCTGCAAAAATGTGATATTTGGTGAAATATATTAAAGTTATTTTTTGCTGTTTGTTTAAGAATGCAAATGGGCTTTAAAGTGTTACTAAACCCTGGACCCGGCATTCACTATATCTGATCTCCCTGCACCCTGCATTCACTATATCTGGTCTCCCAGGACCCTGCATTCACTATATCTGATCTCCCTGCACCCTGCATTCACTATATCTGGTCTCCCAGGACCCTGCATTCACTATATCTGGTCTCCCGGACTCTGCATTCACTATATCTGGTCTCCCGGACCCTGCATTCACTATATCCGGTCTCGCCGGACCCGGCATTCACTATATCTGATCTCCCTGCACCCTGCATTCACTATATCTGGTCTCCCAGGACCCTGCATTCACTATATCTGGTCTCCCGGACCCTGCATTCACTATATCTGGTCTCCCAGGACCCTGCATTCACTATATCTGGTCTCCCGGACCCTGCATTCACTATATCTGGTCTCCCAGGACCCCGCATTCACTATATCTGGTCTCCTAGGACCCCGCATTCAATATATCTGGTCTCCCCGAACCCTGCATTCAATATATCTGGTCTCCCCGGACCCTGCATTCACTATATCTGGTCTCCCCAGACCCTGCATTCACTATATCTGGTCTCCCCGGACCCTGCATTCAATATATCTGGTCTCCCTGAACCCTGCATTCAATATATCTGGTCTCCCAGGACCCTGCATTCACTATATCCGGTCTCCCCGGACCCTGCATTCACTATATCTGCTCTCCCCGGACCCTGCATTCACTATATCCGGTCTCCCCGGACCCTGCATTCACTATATCTGGTCTCCCCGGACCCTGCATTCACTATATCTGCTCTCCCCGGACCCTGCATTCACTATATCTGGTCTCCCCAGACCCTGCATTTACTATATCTGGTCTCCCAGGACCCTGCATTCACTATATCTGGTCTCCCCGGACCCTGCATTCACTATATCTGGTCTCCCCGGACCCTGCATTCACTAAATCTGGTCTCCCCAGACCCTGCATTTACTATATCTGGTCTCCCCGGACCCTGCATTCACTGGATCTGGTCTCCCTGGACCCTGCATTCACTATATCTGGTCTCCTGGACCCTGCATTCACTATATCTGGTCTCCCAGGACCCCACATTCACTATATCTGGTCTCCTAGGACCCAGCATTCAATATATCTGGTCTCCCAGGACCCTGCATTCAATATATCTGGTCTCCCCGAACCCTGCATTCAATATATCTGGTCTCCCCGGACCCTGCATTCACTATATCTGGTCTCCCCAGACCCTGCATTCACTATATCTGGTCTCCCCGGACCCTGCATTCAATATATCTGGTCTCCCCGAACCCTGCATTCAATATATCTGGTCTCCCAGGACCCTGCATTCACTATATCTGGTCTCCCCGGACCCTGCATTCAATATATATCTGTTCTCCCCGAACCCTGCATTCAATATATCTGGTCTCCCAGGACCCTGCATTCACTATATCCGGTCTCCCCGAATCCTGCATTCACTATATCCGGTCTCCCCGAATCCTGCATTCACTATATCCGGTCTCCCCGGACCCTGCATTCACTATAATCCGGTCTCCCCGGACCCTGCATTCACTATATCTGGTCTCCCAGGACCCTGCATTCACTATATCTGGTCTCCCCGGACCCTGCATTCATTATATCTGCTCTCCCCGGACCCTGCATTCACTATATCTGGTCTCCCCGGACCCTGCATTCACTATATCTGGTCTCCCAGGACCCTGCATTCACTATATCTGGTCTCCCCGGACCCTGCATTCACTATATCTGGTCTCCCCGGACCCTGCATTCACTATATCTGGTCTCCCCGGACCCTGCATTTACTATATCTGGTCTCCCCGGACCCTGCATTCACTGGATCTGGTCTCCGCGGACCCTGCATTCACTATATCTGGTCTCCCCGGACCCTGCATTCACTATATCTGGTCTCCCCGGACCCTGCATTCACTAAATCTGGTCTCCCCAGACCCTGCATTTACTATATCTGGTCTCCCCGGACCCTGCATTCACTGGATCTGGTCTCCGCGGACCCTGCATTCACTATATCTGGTCTCCCCGGACCCTGCATTCACTATATCTGGTCTCCCCGGACCCTGCATTCACTAAATCTGGTCTCCCCAGACCCTGCATTCACTATATCCGGTCTCCCCGGACCCTACATTCACTATATCTGGTCTCCCCGGACCCTGCATTCACTATATCTGGTCTCCCCGGACCCTGCATTCACTATATCTGGTCTCCCTGGCCCTGCATTCAATATATCGGGTCTCCCCCGGACCCTGCATTCACTATATCCGGTCTCCCCAGACCCTGCATTTACTATATCTGGTCTCCCTGGACCCTGCATTCACTATATCCGGTCTCCCCGGACCCCGCATTCACTATATCCGGTCTCCCCAGACCCTGCATTCACTATATATGGTCTCCCTGGACCCTGCATTCACTATATCTGGTCTCCCCGGACTCTGCATTCACTATATCCGGTCCCCCAGGACCCTGCATTCACTATATCTGGTCTCCCTGGCCCTGCATTCACTTTATCGGGTCTCCCTGGCCCTGCATTCACTATATCGGGTCTCCCCGGACCCTGCATTCACTATATCCGGTCTCCCCAGACCCTGCTTTTACTATATCTGGTCTCCCTGGACCCTGCATTCACTATATCCGGTCTCCCCGGACCCCGCATTCACTATATCCGGTCTCCCCAGACCCTGCATTCACTATATCTGGTCTCCCTGGACCCTGCATTCACTATATCTGGTCTCCCCGGACTCTGCATTCACTATATCCGGTCCCCCAGGACCCTGCATTCACTATATCGGTCTCCCCGGACCCTGCATTCATTATATCTGGTCTCCCCGGACCGTATATTCACTATATCTGGTCTCCCCGGACCCTGCATTCACTATATCCGGTCTCCCTGGACCCTGCATTCACTATATCTGGTCTCCCCGGACCCTGCATTCACTATATCTGGTCTCCCCGGACCCTATATTCACTATATCGGGTCTCCCCCGGACCCTGCATTCACTATATCCGGTCTCCCCGACCCCGCATTTACTATATCTGGTCTCCCTGGACCCTGCATTCACTATATCCGGTCTCCCCGGACCCCGCATTCACTATATCCGGTCTCCCCAGACCCTGCATTCACTATATATGGTCTCCCTGGACCCTGCATTCACTATATCTGGTCTCCCCGGACTCTGCATTCACTATATCCGGTCCCCCAGGACCCTGCATTCACTATATCTGGTCTCCCTGGCCCTGCATTCACTTTATCGGGTCTCCCTGGCCCTGCATTCACTATATCGGGTCTCCCCGGACCCTGCATTCACTATATCCGGTCTCCCCGGACCCTGCATTTACTATATCTGGTCTCCCTGGACCCTGCATTCACTATATCCGGTCTCCCCGGACCCCGCATTCACTATATCCGGTCTCCCCAGACCCTGCATTCACTATATCTGGTCTCCCTGGACCCTGCATTCACTATATCTGGTCTCCCCGGACTCTGCATTCACTATATCCGGTCCCCCAGGACCCTGCATTCACTATATCCGGTCTCCCCGGACCCTGCATTCACTATATCCGGTCTCCCCGGACCCTGCATTCACTATATCTGGTCTCCCCGGACCCTATATTCACTATATCTGGTCTCCCACAGTACACACAACATGGAAATGCAATTATTTTAGTAAATATAAACTGGTAAATACCTTTTCTCATCAGCAGTATATAGCAGTCTTGTGACTTCTATCAGTGTCCAGCAGAGCACTGGTTAAAGCTTGTAGGAGGAGTTTTAATTCTGCTCTATGAGGATGCAGAACCCCTAACCTCTGTCTGACCAGTGCTGATTGGCCCTGTGCTGAACACATGCACTCTCCCAAGAAAAAAAAAAATCCTCTCTAGCAATTCACATCAAACTGAGCATGTGCAAAATGCCTACCGTTCACTCTGTCTTATCAGGATATAAGAGGGGGACACTGGAAGAAGGGGAGGATCAGAGAAGACAGGATCAAACATCCTTTTTACACAATGCAGAGGATTAACCCCTTAGGTTCCACAGTGCATATAACAAGCATGCTTTACTGCATCTACAGACTGATTGTACTGTTGTGGGTTTAGAAACACTTTAACCTGTTCATCCATCACACCTTTACACCCCCTATGGACCAGAGCAATGTTTCCATTTCTGCTACAGGGTTTTTTTTTTCTTTAAAAATAGGAAAATAATAGTTAAGGAGAGAAGAGGAAGAAGGAGTTAAATAAAGTTTTTATAAAAGGTGTTTATTTTTGCATGGTTGGAAAAAAAAATTAAAATAG